CTTTTTCCTTAACTGTTCCAGGAATAATGCTCCTGAAATCAGGTCAACCCCATCACCAACCAACCAGTTGAGTTCCAGATCCCATGTGAATTAAAATGTCAATCTAATGTATAATTCCGAGATGACTTAGGTTGGACATTCAATGTTGTGCTATGAATTTTCTCTTAATGCAGAGTATTTGTTTGCTTGCCGAGTGGCTCTCTGGCTTGCTGCCAGCCTGTGCATGGTCCACGCTTATGAGTTCAGGATCTATGGCAATGTGAACCATTCAGATGTTTACAAATAAAAAACACCACGAATACACGAATTCACTAATGTTACTATCCAACCTCGTGGAGAAATAGTCCTTTGACCCTGTGGTGGTTCAAAATGAAAGATCTCAAGTTATGTGCAATAAATAGTAAATAAAGTTACACTGAATGATGGATTTCTTGCTGTGGTTGTTGACTTAATGAAAATACCTTAAGGATGGTGCAAATATAAACTATCTACAGGGGGCTCTATTGACCTCCATTTTTTTAAAAAGTCAAAATTTTAACAGTTACAATACTTTCCCCCCCTCCACTTAAGTGGCAATTCTGAGGGATATAGTTAGGTCGTGACTATGAAATCTTCTCTCTCAAGAATTTGATAATAAATACAAGTAAATGAGAAACTCTATAAGTAACAATATACTCTGTCCCCTAAAATGTACAATGTTAGGTTGTAGGATGGCTTCGTAGAACCAATTCTGAAAGTACTTGACAGATATACCCTTTATGGGAAGTAGTTGTTAATTCAAACTAGCAGGTACTAATACAATAGGAAGGTCTTATGAAACCCAGATATCTCTAAAGCCACATTTTAAAATATAGTCTAATTATCATGGGCAAAGGTGAAAACCTGAGCACATGATATAATCAGGAGGAATCATTTTGTTATCCGTGTATAATTTTCAGAGGAGAGAGTTAAGGCTACCAAAGGCTGTTTGCCACTCCACTGGGAGCATGTTGCCAGCAATCCTGAGCTCATGATTCAGTGTGTTGTTCGCTTCATTCTATTGAATCAAGTAACTAGCATTTAATGCCACACATTTTTCAATGTTTAAAAAACTACAGGCACAGGTAATACAATTATGATCAGTCACTTAAGGGGGGAGATAATATACTTGTATGTTACATTGGCATGGCCCTGCATGTCTTTATGGGGAAACATTTGGAGTTCAGTGATAGCTTAACTGGTTAAGCATTGCATCGAATACACACCCCATCTGTCCTCCCTGTCCATTGTAAAGTTACGAACGCGCTTGCTATTGTATTTGATGGGGAATATAGATGGCCTTAATTGACTGTTACTCTGCTTCTGTGTGTAAACAATGGCTTTGTCAAGCAACTTCATTTAATACTAGCTTTTGAGATGACCTTTGTAAGTTGTGAATTTAACCTGAAACCAAAGTGGTCTCTGTTTAACGTTATTTGATCCCCCCACCCAACCTATTTCTAGCTAAATATATGTCACTATGCAAATAGGTAAAATATTTCTTTCTCTACCAAGATGATATGGATTTGAATTATGAAGGGAGGCTCAGTCTGTATTGGCTTCTGTCAAGATTAAGAGTCTACTCAGAATCAAGCTTTTCTTTTTGTTCCTTGGATGTAGGATAACACACATGGCGAATTTCCGAGAGAGGTAAACTCCATGTACAAGTACCTTTAGCCAAATGGGAACAGCTGGTTGATTCGAGAATTACTTGGTTGAAGTAAGAACACTGTACCATCCTGTATCCTGTGTGCCATAATAAAATACAGAAAAACCTAAA